GTGCATTGTTTGGCCGTTTTTTTTATTTTACTTATTGTTAGTAATTTCTTCAATAATGGGGGGGAAATAGAAAAATGTACGGGAATCAGTTTCTGTTATTTTCAATTCAGTTAAAAATAACCGTATAGATAGGTACCAGAAATTTTCACCGGCCCATAGGCAATGATGGCCCGAAATGCTCAAATTTGACGCAGCTGTGTCAACATTTTAAGAGATGGTTGGTGCGAGCTGGGCTTGGATTATTTTATTTTGATATCTATTTGTTTAACATTAATAGTGTGAGTGTCTAGTATTCTAATATTAAGGTTATTATATTTGTTATTACACTAGCATCAAATATGTGCGATTATGTTATAAACCTACCCATAGACTATAATATGTAATGTATCTGTTACAAAAAAGCATGTGAAATGTGGATAGCTGCGTTCAGAAAACCAAATATCTACGTAACTAAACGTTTTTTCATCCATGTTGCATGATAAATTTTCGCGTTTACCTAAATATTATATGTATTAATTGAATTTTTATCATTAGCCATTTGGAAGCTGTGTGTGGGGGGAGGCGATGGAGACAAGATGGTAGTGGTGGTGGTAATACTGAAATATGAAATTGTGTCATTAAAAATTTGTGTTAAATCCACCACTGTATTTTTGCTCTTTCTAAAGATTGTAAAATACTAAAAACCTTCTAGAAATTAGTTATTATGTTAATATGTTAATAACAACAGCCATTTGAAACTTTTGATTTTTTTTTTTTATGTTTTGATTCGGTTTTGCTTGAATACAATTTGTTCAAATCAGCAAAAATGCTCAAAAATTTGACACGAGGTTCTCAATAATTTATGCCTAGTTGTTGAAAAAATAATTGATAGCAATGTAATAATTAATGTTTTCTTGTTTGAAATTCGAATGTTTATGAAATTTCGTCAATATCGCGGCATTTCATAGCATTAAAAATATACAACCGAATTTCGCTCAGAATCGTTTTTCGTTAGCAATGATTTATTTTTGTGTACAAATATATAAATTTAACTGTCCTGTACTTCGTACTTTCCTAAATTTTTTCTTTTATTTCTGTTCACTAGTTTTCGATCAGACATTCATGCTCCGAACAACATCAGGGGTGGTCTGTGGTATAGAATTTTGTATAGCTGATGCATTGAGGGGGTCGTTGTTTTTATTTTTTTTTTTCGTCAAAACTTGAACGAAATTTTAAAAGTTTAAAGAGACAGTAATTCTTTTAGCTACTTAGTACAGTACGTGTAAAGCGTATGTGTGAGTGTGTCTGTTTATAATATTATGTGTGTAAAAAGTAACACCGCGAGAGGCCCGAGTAAGAAAATAAAACAGTGCACTCTATTGAAGAATTAATGCAATATTGTTATTTTTAAACAAATATTATTTTCCGAAAGTACTGTACAAACATTTTTTCTCCCTCAAAATTGTCTACCGTCGTGATGTTTTATACCTTTTTAAATATTATTACGTTCCATGAAAGCACTTTTCCATTTTTATATGCAGAGTGATTCTTTCAGTGGCGCGTAGAACATTTTCTTTTTGTTATTCTAACATTTTAGAAAAACAGTACATTTATAGTCGAATGGGAGTAAAAAAAAATATTTATAATTGTTATTTGAAAATCAAAAATCGATATATTTATATTGTGTATTTACGGTGTACAGAACAAGGGTTTGGATGTTCTGGGTGTCCAATGCTTGGAAATTATTTTGAGTGGAATTTGAGTTTGACCAAAAAACAACTATGATATTTCCTCGACATTTCCGTAGAATCGTTACTGTATATTATATCACTGTTGACTTATAAATAATAAAATATAAAATGGCTTTACGCCGATATTAATATAGACACGTAATATCTGCAATATTTGTTCGATTACACTATTTAAAAATAAGATACGCACGAATAATATTTAGCATTTATTTTCGCATAGTATTTTTGTTAATAATAACTGTAATTGTTAATGATATTTTACGGATTAAAAAAAATTAAACTCAACCGGTATCACAATATTTTCTCGTTCGTTTCAAACACATGCCTAATAGAAGAACAAACAAACACCGTTCGATAATCTTATTATGCATTTAGAAATATAATAGTATGTAGTTATTGCATTATCAAATAAATATAATATAGACAGACGAATAAAGATAATGAATGGCATATTGTTATATTTCGTTTCAATGTAAGTGTTAACCTTGTAAGCTTCACCGAGTCTCATTTGAAATTCAAAACGAATTCGGTTACAGAAACACACAGTAATACACGGTATTACAAAATCCGTCGGTGTTATTTATGAACTAAAATTACTATCCATTATTTTTTTCTTTTACATTATGACGATGTCGGTTACATTTAAAAATAAATTATTGACGTATCTATACGCGATTCTGTCTTGGATAGTATTTAAATTGCTACTTATTAATCGTGCATGTGTTTTGTATATAAATAACATCGTTGGCTGTATCGCGACGTGTCTGCAACGCCGTGATTGAATTTGTATAGCCAATTAGGAAAGGTCTTCAAAAATCAGTATGGAAAATAGTTACGGAACGATATTTCTTTGGTTATGTCGTTGATTGAACAATATAATAAATAATAATCGTACCAATATTATAAACACGAAAGTTTGTTTGGCTGTGTGGATGCACGTCGCTCAAATTGCTCGACGGATTGAACTGAAACTTTGCGTGGACGAAGTTCTAAGCCAGGAATAACACACATGCTACCTGCCATTCACCTCGTATTCAAGCTCCAATAGCGGGTGGAATGCCACATTCGCATTTTTATAATGTGAAAATCTAATTATTTTCGTCGATTTGCACGTTACCTTGGTGGTACGGATGAAACGATATAAAAAAGTTAAAACTAAAAAATAAATAATTAGATAATCCGTGAAAGGGCCGTAATAACGTAATGATAATTTTGTCTATTATGTGTTTTGACACGGGCAACACCGGGCGGAACAGCGAGCATTTTCTAAATAATACAAATTGTATTGGTCAAATACTTATCTAGACATTCAGTTGTTAACTATTGAAAATCTAATCGCGTTCAAGGAGCGATGGAACATTTTATTTCTATACATTTCACCACAAGGTATAAAAATGTATTGATAAAAAGGTAAAAACATAACCATGTGCGAATGCCGTTTTCCTTAAGTTCACTGCAGAATTCAAGTATCCGGAAAAAAATTGCTAGTCGTAGTAGAAGAATATTATTTGAAACGTTTGAGAGTTGAAAACTGGAAATGTTCAAATGTAGCGAATTGTATAGTTATGGTGGCGATGACTCTTACATTGTACAGCTTATACGCCGGTAGGAGACTGTAGGATAATGTATCCAAACAAAATATACAAAAATTTAATATTCTTAGATGGTCTGTGGGCTCGGAAATTGCAGCAGTACCGGAACTAGGGGAGACTTCCGGGCTCAAGCCCCCCCCCCCTCAAACCCAAAATGTCAGACGACAATAATTTGTTTAAGTGAAAATATCATAATGCCGTGATAGCCCGGTTCCCGGATACGGAGAACAGCTTGTGATTAAAGTGGAGGAAACGGAAGGGACGGAGCACCTCTAATTATTTATGATACAATTATTAGTCACCTTAAATTTAAATCTTTGAAGTCCGGAGGGGACGCTTTAGTTATTGTCGTAGAGCCTTTTTTAATACAATGGAAAAACCCTTATTAGTTTTATTAAAAATAAATCCATAATGCTATTCGATTATACTTAAACAGATTGTGTTTTAATTTATTTTTACTGAGCAGGCTATATGCGTAGAATAATATTTTAAAGGGGAGGCGGTTATTTTTAAACCCCATATTAGTAGAACGTTTGTATGGACAAATGTGTGCGAGAGAAAAACATTTTGGAAGTATCGTCTCCTGAGTATCACGAGTCGCGAACGTGTTGCTTTTTGAGGAATCGCATCGCTTAGGTAATTTAGAAACCTATTATTTTATTGTGTCATTGTCAGCAGCGCGGTGCAAATTTAGTTAGTTGACCACATTGTTTGATCATCTGAAGTCTCCCGTACTGAGAAAATATCCCAGCTACGGCACTGCAGGAAAATGTGAACAACTTTTTAGAGAAAATGTGTGAACCGTGCAGGTTAAGTTAGGTTAGGTGATGTTTTATAATTTTTTTTTGTCGTTTTGTGTTCGCGGTTTAATTGATATTCGACCGCTATAGCGGGTCTGCGCGATAAATTGTATTCATTAATCAAACTTATTTCGCCTCCTCCGTGTTCCAGCGTTAACGCGCGAGGGACTAATTTCGACAGTATAATAAACATGTGAGGTGTAAAAAATAGAAAAAAAATATGTCTGCACCCCGTAGATTACCTTGATAAACTTTCTCATCATAACGTTATTATATTATGTGATATTCCGGACGAATATACACATAAAAATAATAAAAATTGTTCGTACTCGGGCAAGTATAATTTGATAATTCTATTATTGTGATACGGTCGACGATATACCTGCCCGTGTTCGGGGCGTTCTAATTCAATAGGTTTAACGTCGGTAACAGATCGAAGTCTTCAATTAGATTAATAGCCGATACCCGGGACGTCGTCGAACGTTAAACCGGCGATATTCAACCCGACGGTCTCGATTTAATAGCGTTACGTGCCGAACATAATATTATTATCATTATTATTGTACCTACGTGTTTTTTTTTTTTGTTTTTCGTTCAAAGATAATCGTTTTTTATCTCTCTTATACCGATTTTTTACGATTTAAAATGAAGTATGCCTCGTTATTATAATACGTATACGTCTCTATGCAGTTACTATAGAGATAACGTGAAAACTACATTTTTTATAGGTACCTATCCTATTTACACGTGAGCGGATATCAGAAAAGGGGGTTTAGGATGTTTCCGAACCCCCTCTCTCTGGAATGTTTTCAAGCCGCGGAAGGTTTTTGTTAGGGGTTTATGTTTCGCCACTACACTTCTTAACTTATTAATATTTGCCAAGCACATTATATTCGTAAGAATTTATTTTTATCGATACCCGTTTCACAAAATGTAAGACACAAACAAGCAATATTGGTTCGACTCGTTTCACTCGGTCATAATGCCAATATTAAAATTATTTTATTTTTTTTTTTTTGTAGTCAAATTATTGTACTTGTGACAATGTTTAAAATCCATATGTTTGTAAAGTTCAGTACGCGTAAAATATTTTAAAAGATTTATGATATTATTTTAAACAAATTAAGTGAATATATCACACATTTATCACACATAATCACACATTTCGCATATCGTACAAATTTAATTTTGAGTTACACGATAGCCGAAGTGTCTCTGGAAATTTAATTTCACTCTGATCATTACTGTTCGTGCGTTTATATTGATTGCGTTTTATTTACATTAGCCGATTTGTTGCCTTCGAAGGTGTTTAAAATTAAACGCTGCGCATCGACGTAATTCTAATTGTAAACCTCTTTGTTCACAGTCTATGATATAAGACGCGCGCAAAAATGTGCTGCAGGTTTAGGTTTTGGAATTTATCACGAATCTACTAAACTACCCAAAAAGAAAAATGCTCTTTAGATACGAGAACTAATAGTACTATACATTACAATGTTGTACAGTCGTACGTAGACAAGTATTTTCTAAAAGAGTGAAACTGTTCTATAAAAACTTCTTGTCTACTTGCGTCAGTTTTAGAATCAAATAAAACGTGTTGTGACAGATTTCGGAATTCATTATCATCAATAATAATCGTACTCATTCGTTTATACATAGTGAGAAAAAAAAATAGTATTGAAAATCAATAATTATTTGGCAGAATTCGTTTATTAATATTTTATTATGAAAAATAAAATTTATACACATTTAATAATAATATTTATCGGTTTAAAAAGATTAATGATTAGTGATATATATTGATATTATTATGTTATTTAACTTTAGATGCAACTATTATCCGAAAATATAACATATTTACAAAAGGGATCCGTTTTAAGCTGACTATAATATTATTGATTTCAAAGCAAAATATAGCATACAAGTAACAAGCTTAGAATAAAAACAAAAAAAAAAATGTTTAATATAAATATAATTATTTAGTTTTTAGTTTTACTATGCTAAGTTTATATTCTTGGTTAGTCGCATAACCACTATTTCCATCCGGGTGCAGAACACTTTATAATAGCATGCATATAGGTAGTTAGGTACGCGTATAGTGACGCTACACAACTTTAATGTAAGAAGAATTTCTGCAAAATAAACACAATTACTATGGATTAAAAACAAAATACTTTATTTGTAACGAATAGTCTAAACTCACAATTCACATTTTTTTTTACAAATATGCAATTAAATAATAAATTTTTCATTTCATCGTTGAATTTTTTAACAACTAGAATTCACTCAAAATTATCGTATGATTTGCTGTCTACAATTAAATAATATAACAATGATAAAAATAATTTTAAACATTAATTATCAAATTTATCAGTACTAAATATTGTTTTTTTTTTTTTGTAAGCCCTGTATAATTATTTATGTATATATGTATATATATATATATATATATACATATATATTTATCTATATATATATATATATATGTATATGATAATAACATATATCATAATAAATAGCGTAAAATTATAAGCAAATAATTAATAAAAAAAGAACATGTTAATAATTAATAATATATTATAGTTGTTCAAAGATCATAGGAGCTTGCCTCTTCTGTATGACGTTTTAACACGAAATTGTGAACGATTCCTCCCAAAAGACCACCGAAAATGGGACCGGCCCAGTAAACCTGAAAAACAAATAATGATAATAACACAATAAATCCCGTCGTAACAAAGGCTAGTTAAATTATATAATCTGCGCGTATTATGCGTTGTCAATTAAATATTTAAATTTCCTTACCCAATGGTTTGTCCAAAAACCGAGAGCTACGGCTGGGCCTAACGATCTGGCCGGGTTCATGCTGGCTCCGGTGAACTTAATCTGCAAACAAACAAAAAACAAACAAACAAACATTAGAAATCGTAACACATATTCCCGAAGAATGAAATACAATTGTTTACGTTGGTAGTAGATAACATAAAAATAATAATTGCTATGGGTTTGAACGTGAAAATGTGAACAATTTTAATTGTTTTTAAAATATGTTCCATTGTTTAAATATCGACTTGGTTATAACGTATACGTCGAGTTATCAGTTGTTTTTTATTATTATTATTATTTTTTTTTTTTATGAGTGGAAATCGAAAAACCATGTTATTTTTATTCGCAAAACCATTCTCGTATTAGAATTACAGTATTTTAACGTTTAATATTGCATTTTTTCAAAAAATTAAACCTAATATAAATAACAATTACGTTTCGATGCCAGTATACCTATTTGCTGTACAGTTAATTATAGGTATCTAAAAAAAAATGGCAGGATTAAGCTTGCCCAACAGTGCTAAATTGAAAATGCGAGGACAACCCGATTAATTGGACACGCGCTTATAATTAAATAGTATTAGTAATAGTAGGTTAATGAATGTTGAAATGCGAGATTATTGGAATTATTGAATATGACGTATGTTTACTACTGTTTAGCCGTATTTGTATAGTGATTAATCTGTTTAATGTGACTATAGTGAATAAAAATAGCGTAATATTATTTTCAGGTGACCGCCATTAGGTTTATTTCATTTTATTTTTTTACGTATTTTAAGTGTAGCGAAGAAGTTATTAGTATTACTAGGGATGTTTGTTCGTCTCGGAAAATACATTTTCGGTTAGAGGCTAATGTTCCGGGTTTTCCACACAATTGGTACCTGTCTCAATAGACGTGGAATTTTGGCCGGTAATACTGATTTATTGATTTTTGTCGATTTCTAGGTTCTCTTAGCAACACGAGAAAAAAATCACGACTAATCGTACTCCGCTCAGAATGGTTTTTAGTTTGCAATGATTTATCGTTGTATATTTCGTTACATACTCGAAATCGTTTTCTATATCCTACCAACCTTCCCAGCAAATACCCACAACGGTGGTCTACCGGTAAACAGTATCGGAATTTTTATTTTTAAACGTATCTTTAATTAATAAATTCGTCTTTGATACTAAGCGTGACCGTAAGATTTAAATACAAATAACTCGTGTCTTTTTTCTCAGTTTGTTTTACGTCTAAAATATTATATAAAAAAGCGCGTTTTTGAGTTTCAAAGAATATCGGTGACGGGTTCCTTTTTTTGGCAAACGGTTTATTTTCATACGACTCCTATTGCCAAAATAGTTTCCAGATGAACCTTTTAATATTCATATGATGTTCTTTAATGTGACGCATAAAGCGCACGTCGTATACATAATAATATCAAAATGGCCAGTTAAATTATTACAAAACGCTCAACAAACAACCAGCGTAAAACACCGGGTTTAAAATTATTTGTCTGTACTTTTATGCCACTAAAGTGTGTTACACTATACGCAGAATCGGGGGAGAATTGCATATCATTAGGTTTTAGTATCTAAAGTCGAATGTTTGAGGATTTTAGACTTGAATTTTGCAAACCTCGGGTGGATTTTCCAAATCCTTTCAAAAACAGAATTGCGTTGAAATCACGATATCAGTGCTAGTTTAAATCAATAGATAGCACTTAATCTATAGAGGTGTCAATTGGAGCAAGATTTCTAGTTGGAAAGTTGTTAAATTATTTTTCATTTTTATTACTTAAATAATTGTGTATAAAAAAAAAAAAACACTTTCGGTGGGGAAAATTTCCACTATCGGTCCCCTCCACCTCAAATGCGTCGCAGACGTCGTAGAACCTACAAAACAATTGTGTTACAACTCGTATACCTGCGAATGGATTTCCAAAGAAAAAAAAAAACCGATTATCGCGATGGCACGTGTTTTCGCGCGTTTACGATTTCCTCACCAGCAGCGGATCGTCTAATTTGCTCCTCTATCCCGTCCACGACGATTATAGTGATGATAATGACAGTGTATTACGATTGTAAACACTGATAATGACGAAAACAACAACGATATAATGATACGGTGGTCTATTGCAGAGCGCGGGTATTTCCGAGATTTTTCCGCACACGTTGTCCTTGCTCGTCTCGGCGACGAACGATTTTTTTTTTTTTTTGTTTTTACCAAAACGCGGTAACCCCGGTAACCGACTGCAATAATTCGTACCCGTTCTTCTGCCGGATAAACGACGTTGTTAGCGATAATTATTCTCATATCATTGTATTTACAGTAATAACCGGGCCCGCGGCCGGAGCGATAATTATTTTAATGTTACGATATGATATGACGTGGGCGGACGACGCCGATTTTCCGACGGATAAAAATATAAATATAATATTATTAACAACAAACAGCAACAACAACAACAACAACAACAACAACAAACGATCGCCGCAGTATTATCATCGTGCGATATCATCATAATAATATTATTATTATTATCGTTATTATCTTTGGAGCCCATCTCGTCGTAGCACGATTGTTTATTTATTTATTTTTCTGTTGTGCCCAAAGTGAAAACGTTTAGTTTTTTCCCGCGTTCGTGTGCGTATAGAATAATATTATCAAATAAATAAAATCATATTACGCGCTGCACAGCTCGTTATAATAACACTAAAAAAAAATAGTGAGTACGCGCGTCATGTGGGTACGGTACACTGCAAGTACCGACTCGTTATCGGTGACGAAATCCACCGCGGCCGGACCAAGATTGATGCCCGTCTAATAACAACGATTATTATAATGATAGCTTACAATTATAATGACGTGTCCGTCCTATGGATTCTTTTAATTTTAGGCGCGCCGATACTCTTTCGGGGCGCAAAAAAAAAAAAAGCAGCGATGTACCTAGAGTATCTTCTCTGAGAAAATAAAAGAAAAAAGTCAGCACTCGTGGAAACGGCAAAAAGGGAAAAAAAAGTTGGAAAGTCGGGATACGCAGAATGTTACAGGGTTATTATTAATTTATGCGAGCTCGTGACAATAAATCGTAAAACGATTTCGAACGAAGTTCGGTTAAACACGTTTCGAAATGCCACGCGACGTTTACGATTCCCATTATAATATGAACTTTAGACGCTTATAAAAAGCTACGGACTATATCACGCTCATAAACTGTTTTTTTTTTTTTTTTTTGTCGCCGCCAAGAACGACTTATAATGAACTCTGCGTTGAATTGTCGAGCATTTATGACGCGCCGAATTCCGTACACGTAAACCCAAATCGAGACTGTATGACTGATGGCTGATAACTTATACAACGAAAATGAAAACTGAAACCGCGTACATTTTTCCAATTATTGAGAACCGATTATTATACAACAACCAGACGCAATTTTATTTTCTTCGCTTGATGACCGGACCAAGATTTCCGGTAGAAAAGTCGTCAACAGACATAGTGGGGAAAAAAAACGCACAACAACAGTAAAACCATAATATATTATTAGCCAAGCTAAGCCGAGTCTACACGCACCCGCACACAACGGCACGATCCGTCAGCGTTTCATTATTAGTAACTTTGTGTTATATTGGTCGTTATTCGTATGTTTGTGTGTGCGCGCAGGTGTTTTACGCTTTTTTTTCGGATGACAATATTACCTATTATACCTATTATACGAGTACATATGTGCACGCAATAATATCGTAAGCCAGTAAAATAAATTGTCGCGGACTAGAAAAACGATGCGTAAAGGCTAAGCTGGTCGTTTTTATATTTTAACGAATAACCTACAAAGCTACCGCGTTTAAACCGTAGGCGTTATATTATTCTATTTTGCGGTGTATATTATATTTCTTTCGGTCGGTGCTTGTTTACATTTTTTTTATTTCCCTCCCCCCCTCCCTCGGCGTACTCGACGAAACGAGTAAGTCAATATAGGCGATAGCTGCAGGTATACAGTGTCGGCTCAAATACAAATACATGCGGCGTAAGACACTCGGAAAATAATATTAAGACTTTTCACAGTTTGTTTTTTTAGAACATATTATATTCGAGAAACGAGCCCGCTCTTATTAAAAATGCTATACGTTTCCGTTATTTTTTGTCGCTTTTATTATTAAGCCGCCGGCCGCTTTTGATTTTCAAACAGCAACTTGTATTGAAAACTCGATAAATATATAATGAAGTTTGAGTTTAAATTTTTGACGCTGGCATTTTTAATTTCCGTCAACCCGTTGACGAGATATTCCACTTTTGGATTTGCCGTCGGGCAACACTATTCAAATGCCGCGCGTCTCGCCACCGCACAAGTTACAAAAAAAAAAAAACAAAACAAAAAAAAACCGAACTGAAAATAAAGAAACCGCCATGGCCTTAAACATTCCCGTTTTTCTCAGTTATCTCCAAATATTATTAATACAACTACTTGAGGAATCAAAAACACCGTCTTGTTATCAAACGATTTTTTTTTTTTTCGTTTTATTTGATTTTCGATATCGCTGTGGTGAGAAGTTTAAGCTTTATTCCCTTTATTCCGATTGACTGCGTTTGCTGTGATTTTAGAGAACCGTTCTTTGAATACGATCCGATATTTACAGAGTGGTGCTGCGAGTAACTGATAGGTATGAGCTGAAGTATAGCTGAAATACGATTGTTACTTTTGTTCAGCAATGAATCCCATTGATTAGTCTTCATTGCCTTCAGAGGTACGTTACACTGGCACCATAATTTAAATTATTTTTTTTTTTTTAAATTTGTTTCATACTTTAGTAACCGATTCGTAATCATTCGTAACTAAAAATTCGGAGTTCATAACCTAAACAATGTATCAGAAAAACCGTTTTTCCCATACGGGTGCTGGTGTAACGTTACACCAGCACCCGCACATTAAAATAATCTACTTAAAAAATGCGATCTCTTATTAACTTTAAAAATCAAATCCCTTTTCGTTGCGCTCTTCGAATTTGTTCGTTCCGCGTTTCTGCGCTGGTTGAGTTGTAAATTATTCATGGAACAAACACAATGGACCATATTATTTTTAGGGTTAGTCAACAATAAGGACCAGTCGGCGGATTTTATTACTTCATATATATATATATTTACATTTAATGAATTAATTACTGAAAACTGACAAGTTTCTGTACAAACGAAATGCAAGCGGTATGAAATATTGTTAAAAGCTACTCCGTTTAAAGAAGGTCCTGATTTTATCGTAACTGGAGAAGTCGTAAAAAACACGTAATTTGATAACGATTTTTTTTACAAAAAATATTGCGTTATCAGACAAATATTTGTACAATCTTATAGACACGGGAAATAAAGTACGATTAAAATATTATATTAAATTATATTTACATGACCTACATTCGAATCGGTTTTAATAGAAATTATAAAGTGCGAATATATCGCATTTATGTGCTTAACAGAACATCTAATCCAATATTATAATACTAAATATAGACGCGCTCTCAAAAATTATAAAAAAATAATATGATAAAATAGGTAACATCGAATTGAGTCCCAGACTGATTTTAGTCATTTCGAGTCACATCGATTTTGTATTGTGGAGGGAAGGGCTGAATACGTTTTTGCTTGAATCATGGGCGTACGGTAAGGTGGTCTAGCCGTCCAATACATCTTTTTTGAACGTTTTTTTATCTATATGCACCTTAACGAGGGTAATTAATATTTTAAACATGAATTGGTTAAAAAAACAAAAAATCTAATAATGAAATGAGAATTTATACGTAAAATGGCATATCTTGTAACTATACTACATATTATACGGAATAGGTATATAATCATCTGACAGCTGTATCCTCCAATAGGAGAATTTCAACCAAAGACATTAATTATACATCGTTTTCATTAACGTATTTTTTTCATTTATACTAGTCACGATGGTTAGCACCTATTGAGTCTATTTTCTGACAAAGTTGTCCATGTTTTTCAATATACGGTTCAGTATAGAGAATGGTAGGCAAACATAAATACGGCCCATTGACTGTAATCCCCTTTACCCACCGACTTCACCTCTGAAGTAAAAAAAATATAGTTTTGAATCGTGTAAATCTAAATGGTTTTAGTTTTCCATAATAATTCGTATAATTACTAAAAAAATTATCGAAAATAAATACAACTGACCGTTCAAACACTAAACAACGTACACAAGCACACGAATTTGTCGTGTGAGACTGCACAGAAAACCTGTATCTACGTGCGGCGTCTCCTGGGTAGGACGCTAACAAGCTGGGGAAATGCCATACTCATCGCAAACAATTCGGAAATATTTGTTAAATTATTTGGTACTGAAATCAACATTTGTAGTCGAATTCAATAATCCCGGATAAAATCAATATTACCTACGTACACATGTAATAATATTAATCGTAATGAACTACGATTTTCGTTTAACGTATTGGTGGTCGATATTTGCAGGAAATATTAATTATTACCATATTCCAACAACGATCCGGACGTCCGGTGTATTATTTTGTTTGTGTTTCTACGTTGCGCACAGCCGCAGCTGTTCTGCCGCAGTAAACTGTAAAGTTTTCCATCCCGCGTTAAACAATCACGGTATTTATCGTATTTGTTCGTCGTGTTTCGGTGTATCGTTCAACGACCGGCCCCGGTGTAGTTGATAACAAAACAAAACCGCATAATGACGGCGTCATATTATTACATTATTATACACGCTGAACAAAACCGACGCCGTCGACCGAATATAACGACGGACGGACGATACGATGACGGCTTTGGTGCAGTGAGTCCGCATATACCAATAAGAATGTTCACGATTCGTATTTGCATGTAGTTAACCATTCAGGTCGGAAATATACTGTGAACAGTAATAACACGACGAGTGTGTGACGTTTCTCGTGTGCCCGCGCAGTACATAATGAATTATACATTGTCGAGGAGACTTTATTATAATCAAGACACGGAATATTATTATTGTTAAATAATTACTATTATTTAGGCGCGCGCGTAATTCGACAAGATAAAAGCGATGAAGTCGGACGAGGGCACGACGACGGCGGCCGGCCTCGCGACGAGTCGAACGAACCCCGGCTACACAACAGCGAAATCGGGAAATAGGCTTTTGACCGGAAAGATAGACGTGCGCATCGCTTTTGTGCGAAATCATACCGACCGGAAATCCGAATGATCGCGTATTATTCGTACAGTTATGAGCTCCCGGTGTTGTTTGTCTAGGAGCCGTCCGGGACAGTCCATCGCCTGACTTACGGTCGTTCGTAAATATGGCCGGCGGACGAAAAACGTGTCACGCGTTTGAATTCTCTTCGCACAATAATCGCATTACAAACGGACGTTCATAAAGGCTACCGCCGTTGAGTGCACTATTGATTACGGGTACTCGCCGGCTATAATTACAGAAATATTTTTTTAAATCGCTACACGTTTTCGACCAAAACCCAAAAGACTCGTTCCGGTCGAAAAATCGAACGGAACGTTATTATCACGACGTTTAAAATCTATACAGTTGGTGTAATGTACGATACGCGTTATTGGCTCTCTTTTTTTTTAATTATCTATAACTGTTGGACAGCATTTTTGATTTTGGTTTTAGGCGTATTTATTTTAGCTATTCAAAAATTTGACACTTTTTTCGCTCGTACTGGTCAAAAAATAAAGTTGAACGTGAATTCGACATTTTTTAGATTCCGTGCAAAGCGAGAATTGTTCGGTTTCACTATGACTGATCTTTTTTCTCGCTGTCTGTAAACAACTTTTTGACCGGCTATATTTTTCTAAACATCAACACCAGGGATGGTTTCCCTGTTATGTTCATATTATTGGGGGAATATGTACATAACGCCGCGCCGGTTTTTGTCAAAATCGGTTTTTTGCTTTTGTAGTCAGGAAGATAAAATCGTAGATCACGAAATTTCCTCATCTAATTATTTTCTAGACAGACTTTCTTTAATTTTAAAAATATCCAAATATTGGATATTTGATAGCATTTTCGATATATTTTAAATCAGTAATTTATATGGCCACTTAAAAATCTGATACTTTTTTCATTGTACCTTTTTTTTACTATAGTAGTATAGTTGTATAGTTCAAAAAAATGTCTGCTCTTGTGTTTTTTTTTTTTTTTTTTTTTTTGAAATTCGAATTTTGTAGAAACTCTTTTTTCTTGATTTTCGAGGAGATATTTTTTCCACGGAAAATTAATTGTCTTTGTATTACTTTTAAGTATCTGCGTCGACAACGTCGCCGGACGTGTTTTCCGTTATACCGGCGCGGGCAAGTAGGTTAATACCTATATACGTAACTGCCGACTGTTTCGGTCCAACAATATAAAGCATCGTCGTGTTTATATTATGCAGTCACAAAAAGCGGAATAACATAATACAAAAAAAAAAAAATAAAAAGCCCCGTAAGTAGGTATAGTTTGGCGCCGCAATAATCGTGAAACGTATTCTCTATATTATAATATCGTCGTAATATAATATATACGATTGTGATCCTCCGCTGACAGTGCAATTGCAACGGCAAAGGTCACGCGTCTCCCTCGATTACGCGCTCCGACATGTCCTTGGCAACATCGAAACAAAATAACAGAAAAAAAAAAAATCGACATTTCCTGAGCCTCTCACTCGTCGTCGTCGTATATGCGGCCAGACCTCGTCATCGTCGACGGTTATTTTTTTCCACCAACTGCTATTGTTTCTCTATTATTATTTTATTTTTCTGTTTTTCCGACTGCGGTCTGAGCAGAACAAATCAAACCGGGAATTGTGCCGTAGAACGGCATCACACAATAACGCAACAGTATCGTTTTATTTAACGCGCTATCATTCCGTGACGTCATCGTACCGCGTAATGCGCCATGACTACGGTTTTTTTTTTCCGTAGCACCCGCAACGGCAACGTCGTGAGAAAATTCGCCGAGAGTGCTGGCGAAAGGGTTTAGGGGGGAGGGGGATTAAAACAACTCCCCAAACTTGAAAATTTAGACTGCCGAGTCGGCAATTTGACTCACATAAATAAACATTAAAATATTGATATTACGATAAAAAAATAAATAAAAAACACAAAGACTCGCAAACGAATCTCTGAAATCCGGATTTAAAATAAATGTTAGCTTTCGGATTCTTGAACTATGGCGAATCCGGATCGTTTCCGACGTTATGTTAACGAGTATATCTATTTTACGACACCCGCTATTCGATACGATCATATTACTATGGTCCTTTTCAGTCTTCGTACATTAATCTCGCGTGATTAGCGCGTTAAAAAAAAAAAATATAAAAAAATCATTGCGCGCCAACGCCCGATCTATTTATGAACGGATCGTATTGCACCGTGAATTAAATATGTACTGATCAACGGAACCGGATATCATCCGACGAACCACGGATTCTGTTCGCCGTCCGAGTCCCCGGGCGAATCGAAATTAAAATACACTTCTATATATGCGTGAGTCACGATATAATAATTATTATTATACTGTCGTTCGCACGCGAATAATATCTTAAAATGCAGCTGTCGGACGTAAGTACACCGAACGTTTTCTATAGTAATGCGTCTAAACGGCTGTATAATTTTTCACTTTGAAAAATATTTCTCCGCGTCACATTCGGATCGTAACGCGAATAACAAATTACGCTAGTGTACAAAAAATAATAATAATAATAATAATAATAATTTTGTTCTCCGTTGTTTTTATGTTTTTATATCGTTGTTATAATTATTATCTATACACGCGCGTAGTAGGACAATTTTAACGCGCGCAGGCGATAAACAAGCATCCCCGCGGCTAACTGAGTATATTACGAGACTATAGGTAGGCCCGCAATTGTTGTTCGGTGAAGGTGTTTGATTAAAAAATATCAATACAACAAAAGGAAATCTACAACCGTCGACACCGTTCGCGTGCACAGACTATATACTATGTAATACAATGTATACGAGTAAGATATCCTTGCGGAATTTGAGGTTGAAAAAAAAATCCTAATGTCTTGTGTTACGCTTTATTATTCATTGAACCGAGCGCTGCATATGGCAAGTATATAAGGTACTCCGAGTACTTATAAACCGTACTCGGCGGTTTGTTATTCGGTTTTTGTTTCAATCCGCAATAATATGTCCCCACAGAACACACCGCGAGTAAATTCATATTGCGACACATAACGTCCTGTCCCGAAGGTACCGTAAAATCGTACTTGAAAATAATATTTTAATGTACAGAAGAATGGTTCGACACGAAAAAAAATAAATAAAATAATACTACAGTCTCCCTGCAGTGTTTCCTTTTTGTTCCGCGCGATTTCAAAACGAATCACATTAATTGTTATTGTCATGTTCGCGTGTGTTTGAACAACGACCCTCAGACAAAACGCAAATGATATGTAATAAATATATTCAACGCAGATTTAAAAAAAAAACGCCCCAAGACAATGGAAACGGGTGTAGCCACTGTTATAGATAATTTAATGTACACCTGTAAGCCACGATAAACCATTGCTTACAAAAAAAACGATTCTGAACGGAGTTTAGTTGATAGTGATGCTTTTTCAACAATATATATAAGTTATTTTATAGGAAAATAATTAATTGGCTTTATGTATTTTCTTTAATAATATTTGTTTAATGTTGTGCCGATTTTTCCGGTTTTCCCATGTTTTATCCTGGTTTTTCACATTTGCTGGCAAAACTCCTGAGAAAATCGAAGTATACACTCTCTAAAGTACCTCCCTAGCGATATTTTCTTTTAGAAACATTGCCGTCATCAAAATTTGAAACGAAATTGCTGGTTGAAAACGTGTTAACAGAAAAAAAAAATCAGGTTTAATAATGGCCAGTCTCTATATTTATTTAAATCGTGTTTATTTCTTAGAATTTCCACACGAAAAAATATCCTGCATACACTATGCATTTTCCATCTATATACATTTCACTCGCCTAAATAATATCATCTTAAATATCGCGTCGTTTCTCACGTGTCTCACAACACATGCTCATAAATCGGCCATATTATCATTTCAATTGGTTCTCTCTCAATGTGTCTACCAAACCAATTATGGTAAAACAATAATAATATAAGATGTGTCTGAACTTACGGCGGCCAAATGAGCAGCGGCGATAGTCAAACCGATGGACAGGGCCGGTGTAACCACGTTGCTCCGGCTGGCCTCGTCACACACCGAGTGGATGACCAAGATCAGAACAAACGTGATGAACGCTTCCACGATGAATCCTTGGCCCGGTTCGAGCGCACTGTTGATAGCCGTTTTACCTAAGCCTTTGGTGATAGCGTTCGGCGTAACGAACTGCGGACAAACAAAAATTATCAAATTATTTAAAATACCTATATCATCTATAAATACCTACACATTAAATATAATTCAACAAAAATTAATATGGACAAAGTGATAAACCTTTTCTCGTATAATTCCAAATGACCTTTGTGAGAAAATTATCGTTTCTCAACCGCTTGAATAATTCTATTATATTATCTGTTCACATTTTTTTTTGTTTTTTAATTTTTCGCGGTGTCCAACCGAGAATTTCGATTCATCAAATTCTTATCAAGAACCCGTGCGACAAAAGTTGACGAAAAAAAATGTTTGAAACAAGTAGGTGTACACCAACAGGGTTCCATCGCGTTCAGAGCCTAATTATTTAAACGGGATCGAAAATAATGAAAGTGATAAAATGTGTTTTGGAGCCGTATTATATAACTTGCAAGTTGTTGAACGTTCAAATTCAATAGTATTTAAAACACGTTATCACGTAATAGTGTTTTGAATTAATTTTAACGTAGGCATCGTAAATTGAAACATATAATGTCGATTAGCCGGGACCAAAATATAAAACAGTATTTACCCCCCGGTAATTAAATGTGTTATTAATAGATAATGAAACGTTTTAATGATTTTGTTTTGTTATTGCGTAACAAAAAAAAAAAAAAAAAATGTTAATTGTCGAATCAAAAACTGAACAATTATAGTTCAATATAAATAAAAAATATAATATAAACGTCGTGTTTGTAACGATACTATTACATTATAACGATTTTGTTATTGTATTTTTAACAGTATTATAATTTTATTGTTAAACATGAGAGGTGTAATTAACTACCAAAATAACGAATAATATTACCGAATATTATCGAAATAATACGAAACTGTTTTCCAGAAGATATGAAATATAACATATGAATACGTGATATGAACTTTAACAGCCTGTACGGAGCAAAAACTGATGGCGTTTGAGAATAAAATACAGAAGATTTTATGAGGCCCATGTTATGCCAATGAATTTGGATTTTGGTATAATACGAAATAAAAAAAAGGAATTCGAGAGATGACGGGAGTTCCGTACATACAATACATTTTGGATGTGTAACGAGAAGGCCGGACTCAGCGAACATAAAAAAACGCCGATCGAGTGTTGAGTGGAAACCAATGGGAGAGACCAATATGAGATTGGTTAACAAAACCTGGAGATGACGAGTGGAAGGCAGTGGGTGAATATAACGGCTATAAAGGTAAAAACTGTCGAAGAGTTGTGATATCAGGAAGAAGAAGAAGAATTTTCGTGTATGAAGCAAGAAGTTAAACTAATATTTTAAAATAGTGAATTGTGGATACGTTATTGGTTTTTCCTTTGCTAATCAATTAAGTTCAACGACGATTAGGAATGATTCATTAGCTTAAAACAAAAAAAAAAAAAAAAAAGAAAGAAACGATTTGGTACATTATATTATTATTTGAAAATAAAATTGTTCGAAGGTTATAGGTTCAGTTTGAATTATTAAGTTAGGCGCACAGTGTGCAGAAGAATTTGAATACTTACACGAAGACGATTATATATTTTAAAATAAATATCATATTGCATAACAATCTTTAATAAGTAATTTACAATATTAATTATTATGATGGTCAAGGATAAACAGCTTTAATACCTATGTATATAATCATTATCAGCTATAATGATATCGATGTAAAATATTATTCATATCATTTCGAAAACAACACAAGTCGTAACTGCGTTTTTCGTTAACTGGGACATATTATACTTCGAAAACGTTAATTTTTTTATTTCAGTCATATTTAAAACGATGATATGAACCCTGGATTATAAGGACGAACCAAAATGTAAAAAAAAAAAAAAAATCAAAAAATTAAATATAAATAAATAAACGTTGCCTTATTCAGAAATCATATTATAATTCTGTGTTGTGAAAATAAACCAAAATATTAATTTCATTGAGTTTTCGTATTACGCTTTTCGATAAAATTGGTTAGATTTTTAATTTCTCTTGTTCAATTCTCCTCCAATCGAACTGTTGGGGATATTTGCGTTGGTTATAGGTTAGACAGAACACAATTTTCGGTTATTGATTTTCGAAAAGTTTGTTATATTAATAAATTATATTTCAAATTGTATTATTATTACAGACTTATCGTTGGGTTTCAAATCTTCACGGTTACCAAAGCTGTAACAAGGATTTTCAGTGTCTCTGGCCGATTTCTACTCGGACCCATAGCCTACCTTACCCGTATCAATTTCCATTACAATTTTATTTATCTATTGTGTATAAACTGTGGATTTTGCGCCTTTTTCTGACTTGAACCAGTCTGGACTAGCACAAACTAATACGGCTCTGAAGGTTGCGTATAATACTATTCGATATCGACTCCCTTGCGGGTATCAAATAATAATATTATCAAAACATGATACTGAACTATATAATATATATGTAGAAATAACGTGAACTTCACTCACTTGAAGTAGGTAGATACCGGCTATTGCCCCAACGCACTGGGCAACGATGTACAGAGCGGATTTCACAAACGAACATTGGCCGGTGATCAAAAAGCTAACCGTGACCGCCGGGTTGATATGACATCCACTGCTTTGACCGAATATCTAAAATAGAATATTCAGTATAATAACAAATTAACCACACTAATCCGCTGTACCATGAAAAAAAATATATAAAAAATAGTTTTGAATATTTATTCCATTATATATGATACACATACATATGATTTAATATAATTATCCGGAATTTATTGCATAATATATTACGGTTATAAAACGCGAGGATAATAAAAAAAAAACAGAAGAAAAATAAAAATCGTCTGCACCCACACATCAGAATACGATATAAGTTGTGTATTAAGCAGAACGATTTTCAACACTAATATTTTTTAAACATTTTTTTTTAGATTCTTCGGCGAATCTAAAACACTCGCAACGAGAAATATATTAGTTTCACTATAATATGATGTGTTTTTTTCCTGTTGTAAACAACTTTTGTATCAAAAATCCTGTTTAGATTTTATTTTATGCCATATAGATACAATTGTTTTGACCGAGCAAAAATGTTAGCGAATTGGTCACGAGGTTTATCATAAGTTGTACTTAGGGCCATAAAAATCAAGGGTAGTATAGAAGTTTGTTTATGAAACTTTAAAGTTCAAATGTTGACGAAAATCCTAAAAATCATGGCATTTCAAAACATGTGTAACCGAACTTTACTCAGAATCGTTTATCGTTAACAATAATTTATCGTTTCGTATAGATATAAATTAAATAAATATATGCATCAAACCTTCCCAACTTTCCATCTACAACAGTCCCTCACCAGTTACAGATTTATTTTTTGTTTGTACTGACTTCCATTAGGTTTGTTTTATGACGTGTAATTTTCGGGGTTTAAAATCTATGTATTTTATTGATTGCAAAAATAATTGGTTTATTTAGAAATTTAGATTATCTCGAATGGAAAACCCGTCTTTAAAAATATATTCTAACCTCAAAACCGCGGAATCGAAATTATTGAAAGGATAAAGTTACACACATCCGATTTTCGTTACGTAAGAACTCCGAGCATGGATTCTATTAATGTTTAAAATGCTCACTTTTTATATGCTATCGTTTATTTATAAAAAAAAAAAATGCCGTGAACAAAATGCTTTTTATTTTTACTTGTGAAAATGGTAAAGTTTTTTTTTTTGAACGTTAAATTTAAAAAAGAAATTATTAATTTCTCGAAAGCTGCACTTAGTGTGCTCAAGTGCCATTTCATGAACACAAATATTTTATAACGAATGCACGCAAATATTGTCGAGCGTGTGTTGATTAACGCCCATGAAAAATTTTTTTTTCCAGGCAAAGGTAAAAAAAAAAAAAAACTCTACTGCATTATCCGAAATTAATACAGTTCCTTTATATATTCTTGGCTTAAATTCAAATATGAAAATTGTATAATAAATAAACGTTGAATATATTATTATTTTACTTTTTCGGGCTTTTATTATTCTAGTGACCTTCAAACGATATAGCTTCACACAGGCATGAAAAATGTATAATATTTTAATTCTTTTCGTTCTTAATATCCGTAACTCTTACAGTATACGATGATTTATAGTAGTACCGGAAAATACGGAAGTAGATGGGTACCTACGTAGAAAATATGATTAAATAAAGAAAAAAAACCACTCACCTTGCGTTATTATTTTTACGCGCTAACTTTATAGATTTATTGATATGTACGAAAAAAAATGTAAATTTATGTCAGGAATATATATATATTTTTTTAATATTTCACCTCGTTTATATAGCGATATTATTTTTTATTGTTAAAGCGTGAAATACGTGCGTAGGAAAAATACGTTTGAAAGAATATAAGACTCATTGGTACACATTTGCTATTCTACAATAGGTACTTATATTATTATAAAACTTGTTTATAACACCGAATCGTAATAATTAAACTTAGAGCAAAAAAAACAAAATCGCACAAAATTTAAACCGTCATACACCGACCGTAGAAATGTCACACACAAAAATGTAGTTGAGTAAAGATAGTGAAAATACGATTTGGTTCATTAGCTCGCGCCGGAGAAAAACCGTTTTGTTTAGTAAAATTGCGTTATAAATAACACGCCGTAATAGTATCATATTAAATTTAAGAGCGAATGCCTATGTATTATTATTTGAGGTTATGTGGAACATATTGATAATATATAATTTTTTTGTTTTTAACTCCCCGAGCAAAACACCTATACAACACTTGTGCAAACACCGGTTAGTATCGCGCAGCTCGCGCCGCTCGGGATTTTTTTTTTACGTGACATTGAATGCGTGGAAATCGAACCACCATCGCTGCGTAGAAGTTACGATCAATGTCATCGTTATTATTATTTTTTTTTTTAATAGGTACTTTTCCAAAATAGACTGCGCAAAAAAAATGAGATGACACCTACTGCTGATGGGTGTGTGCATGTGTTGCATGCAAAAAGTTTAAAAGGTAGTATAATTATGGAGGTACATAGAGTTATTTTATTGAAAATTTTACCACGTCTAGTAAAGAATTTTACATAAATTATTGTGTGAAAATTGCTCGTCTTTATGATTATTTTTGACCGAACTACAATATAATAACAAAATCGAAAATAATGAAACGATTATTTCCGTAAACTTTCTCAGTTTTCCTACGTTTTTCTTCCTTTTTTCAAACTCCTACAAAAAACTGCCTTGTCACTTTTATGATTGAAGCAAGATTTCTGGTAAAAAAGTTTTTTACGGACACGCAAAAGAAAAAAAAAAACATAGTAAAACTATTACATTCCTCACCGCGTTCGGAATCTAAAAATCATCCCGCGCGTATATTTACTTGCACTAGCGTAGCGATCGTGAAACCGAAAGTCAGTGAAATTTGTATGACTGCCGACGAAGTGACTCCGTCCAGCCACATAATGCTGCCGCAACCCAGAAACAACAGTATGGCCGTGCCCAGAAATTCGGAAAACAGCATCCTCCATATTTGATTCGTGTCGGATACGTCGTCCATTGCTATCATACCGTGTACAACTGAAACGGGAAAAAAAAACAAAAAAGTTAGTTATAAACGTATACGTCGGCGTCGTTTTTCAGGAGACGCTTCGATTTATAATAATTTTCATTTTTACTCGGCGGTTCTTGTACATGTACGTTATGTATCAATATAACAGAACGCTAATATTATAATAATACATTACGGTCGTATTATGTACGACGTTTGGGTTTGAGACGTCTTTGAGCGTAAGTGTAGGCTAAAATATGTCTCGTTTTGACGGACATTTTATAACGGTACCTACCTATAATCCTTTATATATATATATATATATATATATGATAATATTATGTTACAAATACAAATTATCGCGCTCAACGAATGTCAAAACTAATTAAAACCACTGGTTTAACAATATTACATATGAACGCTGAGACTAATAATATTATTGAGTAACAGTGATACCAACACTATGGCTCATAGTTTATATTGCAATGTATAAAAATGATATTTTTTTTTTCCGTTATATTTCATAGGCATAGGCACCAAAGGTAAACACCAGATCTCTGATTTATTAGTATAGGTATAATACATTTACGATAGTTGAAAAAAAAAAAACTTTTTTCGTGAACTAAAAATGTTTTCTGGCTATTCGATTGAATGTATCGTCGACGAATATACTCGTACGATTTTCGTTTACTTTTGAATAGGTATATTAATATACATAGTTTCTCCGTTTACGATTTCAGTAGTATTTAAGTCACTCGACTATTTAGTTCAATGAATTTAAAAGTATACGTATTTTTTCTATATAATTCGATGAAATTACAGTTGTTTTCGTGGCTGTGTACAATTTCGTAAATATCGAAAAATGAAATCACAGCAGATACGACAAAAATTTGAAATATAATATGTAAATAATAATAATCTTGTCCTAGAGAACGTAGTAGTAGGTAATGTCACTTCATAATCAATCAATCAAAATACAGTTCGGTTTCTACAGAGAGAATACGCAGACGGTTTAGAAATAATAAGTGAATCACTTGCAGACGCAATTAATGCGGTCAGAGTGTTGGAAGAAGCAACGAATAAAATAGGTTTAGAAATAAATAACGATCAAACCAAGATAATGGAACTCGTCGAAAATCACGAGAACAGAAAAGATTCTATGTAATCAACCGGTTTGTATAGTGTATGAAAGAAGATTGAGAATATTTGAGATTAAAGTATGGAGGTAAATCTGCTGGTTCGCCATCGATGAAACGACGGGAATCTGGTGAAGGAGGTACAATAAAGAGCGGTGTGTCGGAAATAGCATCAGTGACGAATTTTATTTAAGGTGCATAGAATACCGGGTTCAGGGCACGTAACGAGGAAAGGTGAAAACTAAACAGTTAAGACAGCCAAGGAATGGAAATCCCAAGAAAGAAGACTCGAGAACAAGTCTGAGAGTTGAAAACTGTAAAGAAGTATTTAAAGATGGAGACAAATGGTGAAATGTAGTCACGGTGACGAAACGCTTAGAGAGTAGACATTTCATTAGAAGAAGAAACACAATAATTGGCGTGTCTAGTTACGTAGTAATAAATGCTACATTATTAGTAGACAAACGAAAGCGTTTCATGTCGTAATTATTTATTTTACCAGACTCGTAAATTTTCGATTCAAATTCTTCCTCGAAAAAAAAAAAAAAATCTAATAAGGTAAATTACATTAATTTGAAAATTAAAAATAAACACTCTTATTGATTAATCGATATTTTCGATGGCCCGAAACGCTATTTAACGGTAATTCGCATGCTCCGACTTTCCCGCGACCGAGAAAACCGTATTTTTCCAAAACTAGGTATACCTGTTATATAATAATATTATAATCGTAAACAACGATTATTTTACTGCGGGCTGTAGCCATGAAAACTAGGTACTCGACTTTAATTGAAGCAGATAACTAAAAGCAAAAATAATAATGCAAATTCAATCGAATTTAATCCTTGATAAAACGTTCGAATAATAAAATCTAAATTATAAAAAAAAAAAAAAAAAAAAAATATATATACATACGCCCGTCTTAATAGTTAATACTATCCCGAGTTATTGCGCAACATTTTGGAATCGAATAATTTAATTATAATACTAATTTTAAATTGCATTGCAGTCCTTGTCGTTTTTACTGGGATCCCCCCGCGCCGTGTCAATCTTCATTATAATAACATTTGTACGTACATTTTGAAATGGGTCCAACTTAATATTTGTAATTATTTATTTATTATTTATTATTATTATTATTATTATTATTATTATTTTAATGACCGAAAGCGTATTAATATTTATACTCTTGTTCGGAGAAAGGAATTACGAACGTCTCAAGAAGAGTACGCATAGTGTCGGACGACGTATTTTTTTTTTTTATTAATTTCAATTTTTTTTTTTTCCCCCTTTACAATAAACATTGACGGAATCGCTCGATAAAATCGCGTTTGCAGGAGTTTGCGGAATGTTTTTCTTATTAGGACCGTGAACAATTAAATTACACCCGCGAGGATCAAAGATTTAATAACATACATACCCGTTTAATTGAAACGGACGAAGAACTATGAAAATATACGAACGCGTGAAAATATGACGTTAAACATTATAATAACGCGGTATTAGAAAACCTCGATGCAACAACAACAGCCGGCTACTATTTCTAACGGCGTGGTTTTAAGGAAAAAAATACTTAACAATTTGTTTTTGTTCCGTCGGTCGCTGTTGAACGTTGACGAAAAGAAATAATAATGATTGTGATTATTATTTGATCGGCACGTTATAGTACGTGAATCCGATTAATTCTGTAGCAGTCATAACAACAACCATATAGATAACAATATCATAAAAAAAAAAAAACTCTATTGAAAAGGTGATCAACAGTTTATAGAAATGAATAGTATATACACTCCGTTGCGCTCGCTGCAAAGCTGTCTGTATTATACGATAGTGACATCATTATGCAAACTATATACCTAGGTACAGGTATAAAATATCCATTATAACCATTCTCGCGGTTACAACAATTACAATACGAGAAGAACGTTACGGCAATCGGTGACGTCTCGACATCATAATAACACCCCGAGGAAAATTTTGATTTTTCCTTCTTGATTTTTTTATAAGTCCTATTATTTGATTGCGCAACATATTATAATATTATTATTTCAAACCAGACACTGGGCGTTGACGAGTCGACAAGTTAAAATTTATGTTAATTTCGACGTTTTCTTTTAAGATTTGATTTTTTTCATTAACTTGGTTGTTTCGCACCGGTCGAATTAATAAATAACCGTTTAATTTTTCAATTATATCCTATTAAGGTATACGCGTATTTTCGATTTTTTTTTTTTTTTAATTTTAAAACAACGTTAATAGTTAACTATTTATACTTATACAAATTAATTTTTTTGTTCAATAATATTTGACTGGGTGGGGCTAAAATTTCACTATTTTTACAGGACGAGTCAATGTTCATTAAGAGGTATAATTTCTTTAGTGGGTTTCCCCCCCCCCTCCTCCGGTCAAATACCACAAGGGTAAATATTCACGGGTATACCGGTTTTAGAATACATATAATTTTAATTATCCTTATTTTAAAAATAACGACAAATTGTACGTTAATAGTTTTCATTACGAAAATAATAATTGTGCATAAAACAAAAACTAAATTTACTATTATTGATACTTATTTAATATCATCAATGTTGAATTTTCGGATTAACTTGACTTAACTGAACTGAAATTATTCATTGACTATAACTTGATTTTAGACTATAATATCTTGGTAAAGGTATGCGGTTTTTGTAAAAAAATATTCATTCACCTATCCAAACTATATTGTTTGTTTTTATTTTTAGTTGACAATTTGATTAGGTACCGAATTGGCATTTATTTATATTGTTTTCCGCGATGTCAAATATTATTATAATTCAAAAGTATAATGTTTATTTGGAAACAATAATTTTTTAAAAATTTTTTTAAAATGAACAAATGCACAGAAGGTTGTGAAAAATGTTTTTTTTTTTATTAAGATTTTGGTTGTTCGTTAAATTAAGAATAACTTCGACCGTTACTATTACACGTTAAAAACATCGAACAAGCATTTTCTGTACTGCGGGTACATCGAAGATATATAATTTTAAAAAAAAAAACCATTTGAAAGTATAATGGATCAATAATTATAATTATAATTATTAATTATAGTTTGTTTGAGTTACTGAATTAAAAATAAAATATTATATTACAACCGATTCGTAAAAATTTATTATCGATTACTTCAATATTGCGTATTGTGTGACGAATTGACAAAACATTATCGGAAAACTTAATAGAGTATAGTTCACAGTCATTAAACGCACTAACGTTATAATTTAATGTGCATTTATAGTTTTTTTTCCTTATACTTTATAAACGGCGCAATGTATACTCGATTATAAATTTGAAAAAAAAAAAAAAATTAAATTTATACATAAAATATATTTTATGTAGTTATACGATGACTGTTAATATACATGACGAATCTGTATTTGTACATGTATATGAATCATAGATAATACTGTAAAAATAAAAATAATATAAAATGACAATAACAATATAATCAACGGATTTTTTTTCTTATCCATATTATTATAAAAGTATAGTATGGGAATAATGTTATGATGCGAATTCGTGATGCAATCATACGGATAATAACGTCAGCATCACAATGGTAATTTACTATTATTCGATTAAATACATTTTAGTGTTTAGCTCGTTTCTCAGTAAAAAAAAAACGAACGGAATAATTTACAAAATCTAACTATCATTTCTATTATAATATCGTCAGTCAGTGGCGGAGTTTCAATAATATGTTTCCGGGAGTGGTACTGACAAATTATAATGTATTTCAAAGATGTGTATTAATACGTATAAATGCCTCTCTTTAGACATTTTATCGAAGTTATATATCGGTATCTGAGGGGGTACAAAAAGTTTTTAAATCCGCCACTGTTATTTATCGTGTGCGTATATGGGGGGAGGAGGTAGTGATTTGTGGTTATACCTTCCCACTTTCGAGTATTTCTTTATTATTAATTTAACCTTGAATATATTTTAACCAAGTTACAAGGAAAATACCCGATTTATTAAATACATAGTTAACTAGCTGTCCTGCGCCAAGCGTTTCCCGTGCCAATTTTTTATTCCTTTTCACCTTTATTCCCGTATTGCATTGCCCTTATCAGTGTATCGAACGAGAGAAAATACGAGGTAGGTTGGATAGTCCGGTGGACTAAAAGTATTCTAGTGTGTCATACTTTTTTTCATCCATGTTACCATAGATACTCGCACAGCACATTATTACACGCTATTAAAGTATGATATTATATCCACTTAAATAACGCTAAAATTATCAGGACATAATAGTATACTCTAGTTTTATTAATGTTCCGAAAAATACAAAGATTCAAAGACGACGTTTTACGTGTTTTCACTTTTCACTTACCCGCTTACTCACTTAAACGCATAGTTTTGTGTTATTTTCTGCATCCATGTTACCATGGTGGGCCAACCTACAGTGTAAATAATGGTAGTAATAATAATAATAATATTATTCTTGTCCATAACTATCAAATTATCATCCATATCACCAAAGTAACTTCCGAATAAACAAAAAATAAATAAATAAACAATTACCGAAAATACCTAAAATCCTAAAAATCGCAATTTTTGTAGGGATACCCAATTTTTCTATTAATAAATATAGACTATGTTACTCAAGAATAATGTAACATCCTAATGGTGAAAGCATTTTTGAAATCGGTTCAGTAGTTTTTGGGTTTATTCGTTAACATTTATTCGTAAACATCTAAATCTTTCCTCTTTATAATATTATTAAAATAAAAATTAAATATTAAATATTATAAGTATAGATACATAAGGTTTTCTCGATCCAACTTCGAAATGCCCACTTTCGGGTTAGGTAATATAATAGAAGATTCTACGATCTATTCGTGGTCATTATATTTACTACATCCTCTTCTGTTGAAAATGTCCTGGCTCGCAACTGAGTACCGTTGTTTTCAACGAAATGATTTTGTATTAGCCACTTTGTATCTATAACGTCTGTGGTTGATAATAACATGACGTTGGATGAAAAAAATTTATTTAAACTGCACAGCGGGTGGTCTATGTAAATAAATAAAGCAAATCAGCGGCCAATGTCAAATCGATTACTGCAATATTCGACAATTGGTTATTTTGAAAAAAAAAAAAAAAAAAAAAAAATAAAAATACCATTCTACGCTGTAGTTATTATGAATTATTGGTCGATTATTATTTTAGAGCCCGTTTCCGTTTCCCCCAGCCCAAAATTGGAATTTGGACGAATTTTCGAAGCACTAAATCTAGTCGTTTTAGCATCATTATTTGCAACCACGGAAACCATACATCGATATTGTTGTACAAACTCGGAAAATCAAAACACGACCACCTCATCGATGCGCCGACCGGATCCAAAACGCAACAGGAAAAGTTCTCTGGTCGTAATGATATTAACGCAAAACGTGCAATACATTTCCCCGCTCGGAAACTTTATGAGGTTTTAATCGCGGTGGCTGTGGAAAAATAACGGCAATAAAATCGCACTTGCCGCGAACATATTTTCAACGTACCGTTTATGTGTAACGCGCGTTACGTCACATAAATAATTGTAAATGTGTACGGCCCGCAGGTGTGAAAAAAAATAACACGCGTAAGATCGTTCGGTATGCCTACCGACCGGTACGAATAACGCAATATATTATACAAAACGAATGTTATAATATTATTGTTTCGGTAATGTCTGTTGGTTTAATATTTTTTTTTATTTTTTTTTTTAAAGGAAAATTATAGCCGCCGATGTAGTTTCCTGTATAGCTTTGTGTTCGTATCGTTTACGACGGCCTTAAAGTCGAATACGTACACGCGTGTCGATTAATAATGTTAAATAATTGATATTGTCGAAAGCTATTATTAGTATTAGCTGTTGTCCTGTCCGTTTGTTAATTTTTTTTTTTTTCTCATTGTATTCTTTAATATATTATTTCGACTAGATTTCAAAATGGTTTTTATTATTTTGTTTTCACGAATAACTCAATCGGGTATTCCATTGACCCGTAGTGCACGCATCACGGTACGTGTCGAGTGATTATATTGGGTCAACGTCTTAAATCCAACGACCAATATAATTACTATGGAGTTATATTGTTACGATGTCTAACGACCTTATAAATATAAATTGACTATAATATTACAATTATTGTAGTATATTATTGTTATTTATTTGTAAATTCGATTAGAATGCATTCGTCATTATTCCACAATTAATAACGAATCTCGAAAACAAATTTATTATCATTCAACGTTATGATTTATTCGTCGATTATTACCGAAGCGCATACGAAAATGTTGTATAGTTTCGTATTGCACGCGTCGTATAGACACGGTAATAAGTTTTCAATCATTTGTAGCCTCGAAAATTAACGATTTTTGTCGTGCGACTCCCGGGATCGATTCGAATGCAAATTTCAATATAAAGTTAAACGTAACGTGGTTTCTCTACGTGTCTGTCTCGTTCTCAATAAAGCGCATAACAGCTCTTCGAGAAATGCCTAGACAATTAACTCCCACCCGTATGTGTCTGAGTATAGTCGACTACATTCTTCCCAATCGATATTTCCCATTTTCTCCGGGTCTTTTCGGATGTCCCCCCGTGCCTGTCGGTCTTTTTACCTATCGGTCCCCATTCTATATGATATAATACATAGTCGCTCTGATTCGATCTTTCTGTTTCCGAACCGTCGCATCAGTCCTTGTCCTTTGATACAATTTGTTACGCACGCGCGGTAATGTAGTATTTTGTTTACCGGCGTGCTTTTTATTAGACTCGTTGCGTTACGAGTCTCACGGCGAATAACGCGGCGATGTAGAACTGTGTCGTCGTAATAATATTGTGACAACTGACAAAACACCGTATACGGTACGCGTATAGTGCACCGGCTTTACCGACGACTGCACAGTTAAATTTCCCGAGCCCATGCTGCACAATGTACCGTCTTTTTGTACCTTCGCAGCCGCCGACGCCCGATTCAAAGGCCCTGCGCTACGACTCGAGTTAACATATTATTATTATTATTATTATATTGTCTATGCCGATCGTGGCAATATCAATTTCGAAACGAGTTGACGAACGCGTACGATAAGAACGGCGTTATAATCTCAAAATAACGCGCTACCTGCAGTATGCTGTACCGCGAGCAAACAAATCGTAAATTATTGTCGAGCTAGACTACGGGGAGAAAAAAATAAAAAAAACGAAATTTATATAACCTCCTTTTCAAGCGGTTGTAAATAATAATATAGCCGGTACCCATTGTGTGCGTAGAATACCATTTCGGTTTTACTCGACACGATAATATTATTATTCGTTTACGAGTCGCAAACGGTTTATGCTTTCGGCAAAATCTAATCAGGAAGGCGTACCGCCCGTCGGGAAGTCCCTCAAAAAGAGAAGGGAAAACATCGAAAAATCAAACGACTCCGTTAAAGCGTTTCGTAAAGGTCAATTCGGTGAAAAATGTTATTACATAACATAATCGTTAAAAGTATACACGTATACATGCGCCCTAAAGTACAAGTGCAGTTCCGGTGTTAGTGTATACAAGTTCCAAAATTATCGCAATGCATCATTCGAAATTTACTATAATAGTTCATTGTGCAGATAAGATATCGTTACGCGTTGGCGAACAGAAAACGCACATAATGAATACGAAATTCGACTGCCGTCGCCGATGTTCCACTACTACGCGCGTGTATCGATCGCGAAAATTGAATTTCGCAACGGATTATTTGACAATGCGGGTCGTAACGCGAAAAAATTAATAAATAAATTATAATTTTCCGAGTACGAATGTAGGTTTTACTATCGTATACGCGGGAAGAATATTAACGCGCATCATTACGAACATGATAATTTATGCACAAACCCGTTGGATTGTTTTACCCGTTTGTACCCCGGGGGCCGCAAAGACGAACCGATACGTTTTTTTTTTTTTTTTTGAAATTATATTTTCGCGTTTTCGGACGATTTATTATTTCAGTCATACACGCGAGGGCGCGCGCGATTGTCCGATTGACTTTAGAGAAAAACTGAAAAAAAAAACCTGTACAACTGCATTTGTTCGCCCGTTCCCCGGTCTGATAAAGGAAGGAGAACGCGATTAATATGATAATATAATATAATTCTTAAAAAGCTACATTTGCATTTTGCATTATTTTAATGAATTGCGCGTGCGGTTGATTTTTTTTTTTTTTTACAAACGTTCAGATAGCAGACGGTTAGGTTTTGTAGTTGACCTATTTATAACAATATATGTAATACTATAAACTTAGAAAAAAAAAAACAAAACAAAACAAAACAATTTGGCCAAAGTAAATTACGCTACGCCTATATCGACTCGTGTGCGAGTATTTTTTTTTTCTGTCTATAATAAATAATGTCGCGCATGAATTTCGGTTAGTTTTCGGTATAGACGAAAAGGAGTGAGGAAAAAAGGTGTTTTGAACACCACCAACGGTGTGCTGAAAAAACGGATTTCAATTTTTACGGGTTTTGTTTATTTTTTTTTTTTTTTCTGTATTTTGTTCGTTTCGAAAGCCGCGCAAGTATTATAAATATTATATTCGTTTGACATTTTGACAGCGGTAAAAGGCTTCGTTCGGGTATATTATACGCGGAAAAATGTTAAAAAATAAGATTAATATAGCGATCCTAATGGATAAAAATAAAGACGTTTAAAAAAAAAAAAAAAAAAAAAAAACTAAAAAGAAAACCCCCTTTGAAACGAAACGACATATATTTTTCGTTTTGAAAATGATACGAATGTCGGCGAACGTTTTTTTTTTTTTTTTTTGTATACTTGTTGATATTGTAAGACGTTTTTTTTATTCAAAATAATTGAAATACAATTTTCTTTTTGTTTGTTTTTTAATATCTCAAAGTCAAACCAACCGGATAGAATATTTCTATTGACCGTTGTACAATAATATAATATATAATCTTGAAACGGTACCCATTCGAAAATATCTGGTCGACCGATTGGATTTTAATAAGAGCATTACGCTCTTAAACCGTTTAGCGAAAAGAAAATCCGTTTGATTATTTCCGTTTTGCGTAGAGTTTTAATGAAAACGCGCGGAAGGACTTTGTCGTTTTTCGAATTGCGGATTCGCAAGTTTGTCGCACGCGCACTGCAATCGTATCGACGTTCGTGATTTTATTATGCTGGAAAAAACGTATTCTCGCGTTCCTATTTACCCATACTCCCCTCCCCTCTCCCTCTTCCCATTTAAACCTTACGGAAAACGCCTAAATTCGGATTTCATCCGCGATACACGCGACTACCACTGCGGCTAACGAATTATCGTTTGTCACTGGTACACGAGTAAAACAAACAGAATGCGAAAGCGAGATGAAAAAAAAACACCGCGTTCGAGACTCTACGTGTACGCGACGTCGAAACCCTCTCGGCGCGGCACAACAACGCCAAAAAAAAAAAAAAAACGTAACAAACGTCTCGCGAAACAATTATGCGAGATTCCGACACCTATACGTGCCGCGACAGTATTAACGTAACGCGTGTTGATATTTCGCGAAAACGTATAGTCGAACGGATGATTATTTTTTTATTCGATTATTATTTTTTTTTTTTCCGGTCGACGGACGCCTTTTATTTAATATCGTAAATAATGACGATGTTATATTGTCCGCGGACGACGGACAATGTCACGCGGTTAACGGTACCTAATAATATTCATCATCGTCGCGGAAAATTCCAGTTCACCCGTCGCGCGCGTCCGAATTTCGCCTACGGGCCGCCCGAGTATTGTTGTTACTATTATTATTTTCTTGGTTTTTTTTTTTCTTTTTCTACTTTTAGTTTTGTCCACACCCGCGCGCGTAAAAAATATAAAAATACAACAACGATATTCTACGCGCTTATACTCGCGCCGTCCGTCGTCGCGTCGCGTTCGATTAACGCGATCGCGTTTCGACGACTGCGTTCAAAAACGGTCGGCGTAGGAGGTGTCGGTGAAAAACCGTCGTGTTTTCTTCTTTTTTTTTTTTTTTTGAATTTCGATGGCGAAACAATTTCGTTTACTCCGCGCCGTCTTCGCGATCGTATTCCCGGGTACGCCCAAATCGCGCCAAACGTATAACTGACCGTATAGTGTAGGACTGCGCACAATGGCATTTCAGTAAATTGTATTAACAAAACATATTGACGGCCGAAGATCCGTTGATCATCCGTAGATCCCAACATCAACGGTCGATTAATGTCGCCCGGTTTAAAAAAAAAAAAAAAAATCGTATTCGAACTGATATTACGATTTATCGTAGAAAAAAAAAATAATAACGGTTTATAATTCGACTTCTACGAGAAATTCCGTTTTCGGCTACTATTATATCTAAATCAGTCTAAATAACTCTTTTATATATTTTCTGATAATTGAATAGGTATTTCATTTTCATTTTTTTATTTTTTAAGATTTCTTTTTTTTCTCTCTCTATTTTGCGCCATTCATTCTCAATATTCGTAAAACGTAAAATTATCCACTTCCACCGCGGGCTTTGCTCAAAGGAAGTAAAATATACAACAATTGTATTGTTTTAATAATAATAAAAAAAAAAGAACCTACACGCGAAAGTATATCCTATTATTAATATCGCAGTCCCTTTTCGTCGAATTTTTATTTTAACAATCGAAATTCGGGCTCTCCTCTTACTTTCGACTCAAAACGGCTGCTCGTCAAGTGGCCCGACGTTTTCGAAATTTTAACCGACGGCGACGGTATTATATTTTAATATTACGAAAAATCTTTCTTTTTTTTCCCCCCGTTAAATAAAATACGATTTTCTCGTCTGTTGTACAATACCACTGCGCAAAGGTCCGAGCGGTTATTACGATAATTTACGAGAGACCGTCGGACGTCTCTTTTTAATAATAAATCACGATTACGTTAATATAATATATAAATTACGTACGGACGTTTATATAACGATGGTTATTTTTTTATCGAACGATTTTATAAAAAAAAAAAAAAAACAAATATTATTTTATTTTCGCGCGTAAACCGCGCGTAAAAATATTGTTTCAATTATTGTTTGCACGTCGTTATTGGAAAACAATCAATATTGATCAAATATTATCGCCGGCGAGCGACCGCGGCGATTCCTATTTTCTACGGCTCTGTTTTTCTTAACCCCTTTGCGCCGACCGTATAAATAACCGTCCGAAAACCGATAACCGCGATTCGCCGCGTAAAAGCCAAAAGCGTTTTTCGACAATTACAACGCGATTTTATTTCGTCCGACGGTAGAACCCAACCGTGCGGTATTTAATCGTTCACGCGGTGTTTCCCGCCATCCGACCGCCGCCGGCGTGCGCGTCGGTTGTTGCCCCGGTTACCTACACCCCGTCGACGGCGGTCGGTTTTCATAATGCAAATTGCGTTTTCGCCCGACGGCAGGGCGTACGCGGGCAGCCCACGTCGCGCACGACAACGCGCCCTGTCCAATACGGTCTACCGACGCAATATTAGAGTAAGAGAAAAAAAACCATCGTCGTCCAGGCGCGTCGGTCTTACCTTTCGATCTAGGCATGGCGAACGATAGCCGTTGACGACTGTTGCGGTGTCGCGGTGTTGTCTCGCCGTTCGTCCGCTCGTTTCGGTCTGCTCTCGCGGTATCGCGTCGTGCCGTGCGCGGTTAGGTGCGCGTGCAGGACGTTGTTGGCTCGGCGGCGGTATCGTCGTCAGCGTCGGAATCGCGTCGCCGGTAATGTACGGTAATGTGGGCAGTGTACGGCGCGAACGGGAACCCGGAGAAAACTGTCTGCTGGGTCTGTACGACGGCACCGCTACGACGCGCGTTTCACTGTTGTCTGACGGAAACCCGCGCGCTGAATCGCTACGAAATATTATTACGCGCGCCGGCAACAGGTGTCAACGGCACGCATCGCTATTACTTAAAAATAGGCGGGATAACCCTCTGCGCGGCGATATAATATCCCCACCGCGGATCGGCAATTAGATAGGAAATAAAAAAAAAACAACAGAAAACACGCGCGCGGAAAACCGCCGCCGCCGCCGCCGCCGCCGGATTCAGACGGACATCCCTGCACAACGATAACGCAATACGTCCTACTCGTAAAATATTGAAAATTATTGTTCGTGTGACGCCGCGATAATAGTATTGTCGTCGTCTGCACGTTTGCGAATTTCACACACCGGTTCCCCGCGGACTGTGCTGTTTAGCAGCGTTTGTCGGGGACGTTGGATTTTCGATATTTTTTTTTTTTTTCCCCCCCGTTGGCCGTTTACGATTCGGTCCGTCGCTTATTGTTAGCGGTGGATTTCGGGAACGGAAACTATCATTGTGTGCAATCGAAATCGGCGAAACAACGTTAAAAAAATTCCCGGAAAAATCACTTGAAAATATTAAAAAAAATCGAAATTTGTAGAGGGGTTTAAAAGTCTTCTCCCCCTCCCCCCTCTAAACCTCTAAACCTTTAACCTGTATAGAAATTGTCTGTCGAATGATTAAAACGAAATATTTTTTTTTCTTTTTATATACAATGTACGTACCTACGATTTTATTTGAACAAATTACTTTGTGTTCGTCGTTTTCGTAGTGTTAGAAAATTATTTTTAATAAGCTAGGGCCATTAGAGGGGCGGTGTAACCCCTACATCATTTATGGTTTTTTTCAATATTATGAAGTGATTTTTTATGACTCTTGTGACGTTTTTAAACGCTTTTTTTTTTTTGCACATAAATCCGTCCTCTAGTATAGGTATAGTTAGAAGTTTACCTAAGTGTCGGATATAGTTAGGCCTCGGGCCTCTTAACCCTCTTGGTTGAATGGGTTTCGTTTTAAATGAGAAATTGTATATGTTCGAATTTAATTGGTACCTACATTAACTACAGGTATCGACGCGTTTATGATTTTTCAGGCAGTAAAGAAACAATTTGGATATAAAAAAAAAAAATCAATAATCGTATAAATAACTGATACTTACTGAAAAATAAAAAGGGGCGGATATATCACACTAATTACACTCCCCCCTTATATCCGACGCTGTTTATGGTTTGATCGGAATTGGATAATTTACCTAATATTAAATCATTGCGTTTAATATTAATTCATATGCGTCACGACCGAAGAGTCATATTTAATGTTTTCCGATAATTATTAGGTATGTAATAAAAATGTTTACTCGTCGCGTTTCGTTATAACAGTCGTTATCATGTAATGTACAAAACGTGAATATTATAATAATTGAATAAAAAAATAAATACGATTCGGGTCTAAATAAGCAAATGCCGACGCGCTGTTGTTATTGTTGTTGTCGCCGTCATCGTCGTTTGTTTTAACCAAATAAACAACATTTTAATATTTCATTAATTTAGTGTACGTAACTGTTCTTAAAGATTCGTTTGAATGCAATATTGCGTGTAGGCGGACGACGACGGTTTTTTATTAAACGTATAATAAAAAAAAAAATAAAAAAACAAAAAATGTAATTACGTGGAAAATGTAATTCAAACAGTCAGTCGTCGTTACGATTTTTCGTTATTTTTTTTTCTCTTGAATATATAAAATATATTTAAGAAAACATATATTGTATTTTTAGTCGAGTAGGTACTTATTATTATTCTAGACAGAATTTGGTATTTATGATGGGAGTATGATAGTACATTATACTTATCACTTTGTTTGACCTATTCACGTTTCTATATCTACTTTGCCTCTTTTCAAAGGACAATTAGAAAAAAAAAAAAAAAAAAAAAAAATGTGTAACTGATCATATTTTTAAGATATTTAAGAACCGTATTATAATTTGTGCGAATCCTACTGACCGGGTTAAAAGAATTGTAAATGTTATTTAAAAATAATAGAAAAAAGTTTTGCTGCGATGAATTTGATATTGTAGTTTTGTATAGAGTTGAAATTGAAGATGCTAAAAACCATAGAAAAATAGGTAGAAAACGTACAGAAATTTGATGAATAGAATAATACGCAAATGTGTCCACCACAGCAGTAAGTTGCAGGCCCGTCAGCTCTTGTTTATGTATCCCTACAATAAAACTGTACGTTTTCACAAGATACAGAAATGGAATAATATTATTTTTTTTATAAATATTTTTTTTTCTTCTGATATTTTAACCATGTCTTCTTTCATTTCTTTCCGCAACATAAACAAATATTTTGACATATTTTGTTCAATACACCGTATTTTTTCTAATTCGAATGGTATTTTTTTTTGAATAATATGACGGATCTGAGTGAGCCGTCATACGAAGTATCGGTTGTTTTGTATTCATACATGGTTGCACGATACATATTTTATTTTAAAACGAGTACAAAGTCCGAACTGAATTTGTAGTATTTGAAACACAAATAATGTACACAACCGAAAAAAAACATCATAACGACATACGCAATTAAATGTGGACTTGAATACCTATTGAATATCGAGGCCCTCCGATATTATATAAATCTAGAATCGTATTAAACAAAATTGGACGAAATTATCAAATGTTCGATATATACGGTCTGTAACAGGAATATTTGACATTTTCACGTCATAGTTACATGTTAAAAGTCAAATATTCCAGTTATAACCGTTTATGTAAATTATACGGACGTATAGTGTTACACTATTCGAATTAACCTGACCTAATCTTTTGATAAAAGAAAAAAAAAAAAAATTATGTAAATATTTCAAAATTCCATATCGTCACCGTCGTGCCAAATAAAACCAAATGCAACAATTGATCTTATATAAAAAAAAAAAATTAAATTTTCAAATGCCTTATTCAAATCCTATAAAAAAATATTTACGGGAAAAAAGTGTACAAGCGATATCATAATTAATTGCTTACGAACCAAAAATCTAAATTTTGAACTTAAAAATAAATAATGATAGATTTTTTAAATATTTCAATTGTTTTGTCATTTTTCGCATGACGACGACGATTATAATAATATTTATAGCCGAATGATTATCGTGTTCCGAGTTACGACCGCATTAACTACTAAAAAAGGGCATCTGTCCATTTTCGGTGGACTTTTCGCGTACACGGGCGGATACAAAACAAAAAACTCCGGTTCACTTCGAATGTAATCCTTATCAGGCAATAAATTCAATCTATTTCAACATGAGTATTAAAATATTTTCGAGATTTTTTTACTGCCGCATTTCGGAAAACGCGCATTTTACGAGAAAACCAATAAATAACAATGATAGTACATAACATAATTACATTTTTCAGTGTTCTCATCGAAAATATTCCGAGCCTTATACAAATGTGTGTGTGTATCATGCGAATTCGTCTTACTATTATGAAATCGAATTGTTTTTCCCCCCTCCAGACCGGTATGCCGTAATCTTCACGGTTTTTCGACATTTTTCGTCAATTTAACCTGACCTAAACAAGCAAACACACTCACGGTATTGATGCCTTGATGAATACGTTATTAAATTTGGTGTTTATTATAATAAGGTTCTGGATGAACATTTGTCGAGCATTACAATACTCTTCGTTTATTTTTCAGATTCTGTACGGAACGGAAGAATGTTTTGGTTTTACTATGATGTGCGCGATTTTTTTTATTTATTGATTTTTTTTGATGTCCGTGAGCAACTTTTCTACCAGATATCTCGTCCCATTTAAAAAACTACATTTTTTTTGTATTCTGAATCTAGTCGATACATTGAGTAGGTCGGTTTTTGATTTTCAAAGCAGTTTTCATAATAATTAAGGGAAACCGGAAAATTCTTTTAGAAAAATTGATAAATTTACGACAATAAATTTGATTATTTTCGATTTTTTTTTTTCTAATTCGATTGAAAATAATGATAATCGCCTGCAAATTTTGCAGAATACTAATATTAGTCTTCTATAGGCGTGATAAAATGTTTGAGCTTTTTCTAAGTATTTGACACTGCTTCGTAGTTTTTTTTAAATAACTGTTTTGTTTATCCCAGTTGATATTGTCTAGGATATTTATAGTGGAGAATATTGATAATATTTCGATATCGAAACGATATTTTATGATTTACAGGCATTTGAACCATAAATGCAGCGAACAATAAATAAGTGTGTATTAAAACTCCACGCGGGGTACATTAAATTATTATTTTACCACTACCAAACAGCGTAAACGTATACCAATATAAATCATAAACCGTTGACCAAATATTATGCGACATATCAAAATCGTCCAATAAAATAATATTTAATTATTTCGAATATTTCTATTAATAAATGCACTAGGTTTACGACGAAAAAAAAAAACGAGGAAAACTTGAACGGTCGGAGAACAAATTATAAAATTTCAAAAATATCTATATTTATGATTACTATACTGTAAACACGAGTGTCTTGAATGTTATATAGAAAAGACTCAGAGGCTCTTTAAACACGATTATTGTGAATTGACTAAGTTACTTGACGAATAATAATAAAAAAAAAACAAGCGAAATAAAAGTTTCAAAATTAAACATTCGTAGGTATGCCATACGTAAGTGAAAATTTTGGAACCTACGATGTTTTATAGTATTGTAGTGCAAGCGGAATATAACGCGTTTGCCCAAAAATACACGGACTCAACAATTATTACTGACGTAATGTCAAAGGTCATATTATTATACACTTCATGATCGTCATCATGAAGTGTATAATACGACCCTATTGGTATTCCGGTAAATTTGAAGAGTTACATTATTTTGACTTAATTTTTTGTTTTTGAAAAAAAGTGAATGCCGCCGTCACGGAAAAAAACTTTTTTTTCATTTTTAAACTGTGATAATTCACATACTATATCCTACCTCGCTGGACAGTTAAAATACCGAAAAAACATCAGCGCTAGGGCACCAATAATTGTATAAAGGTGCATTTAAGTTTGGTAATGGGTCGCTTCAATATTAGAACTAACGGCACAGAATG